CCCATGTACACAATGTGATGGTATTTATGTGATACAGAGGTCTGTGCTGCTCATGTACAGCTTAAAAAGAGGAACAGAAGCCAAATAAACATCTGAAACATTTTATTAAAAGCATGAGGGGACATATTCATGTCCTCAAAAGGAACATAAATACAAAATATATTTATATGTACAAATTATGGCAAAGACAAATAGAAGCGTACCGAGTACTTTCTAAAAATGTTAATTCACAAAAAAAAAACAGAAAAAGAAAATATTAACTGTAGCTCCCAATGTGTTGTTTATCAAAGAGAGATGAATCAAAGCGAACCACTGTGGTACTTGATTCATCCTGGTTCAGAACTCAATATAGCTAAAGGTTCACAGAAGCTTTGAGGTACAAATATGAGGTATGCACTACTTCAGAATAAAAAGCAAGCCGCTAGGTAAGTTCAAATATTTTCTGTACCATTATACAGATTCTCTGTACAGCAAATTGCTTTCAAGCTTTTAGCAAATTAAAAATGGAATTTCTGCAGTCCGTACCTCACGTAATAAATTTAACAGCAACAAATTGACAGAAAAGCACACTAGGCTCTACCCGGGTTTAATGATGTACTCTAAACTTTATGGAATTATTTGCGAAAATCTCCATATTTATGGTACAAGTTTGCAAAACTTTGTCGGTAGAGCCAGATAAAAGCTGTCAGAACTGTCACACCTGGATCACAAAGTCATTATTATTGTGTTTTCCTAAAATATTCAAGAACCAGGAATGCGTTTTATCCCCAACAGATCGCACTCTGTGTCTCACAGAGGTAATACAAGGTGTTGACCACAAAGAGGCAACATACCACTGCGTTGTTCATGGTGTTAGATTCTCAAAAATATGACCCATCCGTCCGCTTCTATGTCTATGTTAAGTAACAATAATGGCAGTAAGCAGTAGTCTGTTATCAGATGTTCAGAACATTGTGGGCAGAAGACAGCGTCACATTTAAAAGCCAAGCAGCAACACTAACCGGAGCTCACAACTTCACACAACTCTAGTCTCGACTCTATAAAAGAAGCAGCTAATTCAGATTTGCTCAGTAACGCTGGTCACTGCATACTGTGTGAAGAGATGCATCTTAAAAATGCACAAATGCAATATAAATAACATTTATGTGGAAAATTTCAACCAGTCTTTCAATTTAATCGTGTTACTAAGTTGACAGAAATGGAGGATCAATTAGCGAAGAGTTGAAACTGACCAAAGCAGTTTTGTTTAACACTGGTTGGTCAACCCTAATACTGTCAATACACAAACAACACCACCTCTCTGTGAACGGGAAGCGGGAGCCACAAAAATTGAACGATAAAAGCAGCACTGATCAGAGAAGTTTGAAATAAATTTGTCTAAAATTCATCAGTCATGTCGTTATAAAACTGGCTAAGATTTCAGTGCAAATCTGTCATTTCTCTATTGTTTTCATCAACACTGTTTCTATGAATAAATCTTTGTGAGTTCCACTACTCATACTGTCGGTCTTCATATTATACTGTACGCCCATCATGTGCTTCTAAAAAAAAAAAAAAACCACGCACACACATCTGACAACAGGGAATACAATCTTGAGTCTGAAAAAAAATGCTGATTAAGGCATTAGATTGAGGACTTATTTCATATCTGTTGTCACCCCGAACGTAGATCTTCTTCTCCAAACCCCCCAATCATTTTCCCATTTTATGTACACACATTTAGAACATAATACACGGAGCAACATTTAACAGGGCACCACCTATTGCACATGGAATTTATCTCGTTATCACACATCTTGTTAGTTCACCCCTTTTAGTGCTGTCTTTTTAAATGTTGGCTCATCCTTCTTGCCTTTTTTCTTTGCCTTTTTTATTTTCTTTGACAAGAACTTGTGCCGCATCGAGTCCTAGCTGGAGAATCCGCCGGGCGGCTCGGGATCGGGGGACTGAGGGTTGTCCTGGTCGTCGGGCAGCTGGACGCGTTGCTCGTCCATACGCTTGGCCTGGACCCTCTGGATCAGACTGAAGAAGTCTTCATCAGGCACTGTGGGGGCATGAGGGCCAGCTTCTGGCGGGGAGCACCTCTGATCGTCGATCCTGGAGGACTAGAATCAGAAGGATATGACAAAGTAAGCATCAAAAAGTTCTGTGAAGAGATCTCGACTTTGCTTAACCCTTTAGAGGATTACGCCCTTGAGTTTGCGTGAGAATTGTGGCCTCACCTGACACTTGATGAGCATGTTGAAGAAATCATCGCTGGGTTCTTGATGATCTCCTTCACCCACCAGGTGTCCCAGGTTGTTGTGGGTGATCCTCAGGCCTGGAAGGTTCCCAACATTAACACGCTGGTCATCAAGACGGCGACTCTGAGAGCTGGCAATCAAATCAAACAGCTCCTCGGTCTGGGGGGAAGTGGTAATTGCAGGATCTGAGAGAAGAGAAATAAGCTTGGTGAGTGCAGTTGTCTCAAGTTTTGAAGGTCGTCGCTTTCAAAAGGAGTGCAGATGTTCTTAAAGGAGCTCGTGAAGGGCTGAACCGACCTATCATCTCGTTCAGGGACGGCATGGAGTTCGCGGCACCTTCTCCGTTGTCCCCGTTTTGTGGCTCATCAAGATGGCAGCGCTGGTCATCCATGCGGCTGCTCTGGAACTTGCTAAGGAGGTCGAAGAAGCAGTCTTCATCGGAGGGGTCACGGCCCAGCTTCTGGAAGGAAAACGACAAACATCTCAGTCTGGCTCAGCACAAATAAAGACTATCTGTTACCCCTTGAAACCTTGTTGTATTTATTATTTACCAAAACTGGACTCAAGACCCTCTAATAAACATACGCTTCAGAAAATATAAGAGAAATCTGTTCCCATAACAGGCTTTTGTCTGCTTCTTCAGAAAAGACAAGATGCTGGCTTTTGCTGACAGTTTAAGTTCAAGAAAAAGGATGTTTTTCCTGGATGTATGTAGAAATATGATGTACAGGTGAAATAATTAACCTAAATGTCAGTATAAAGTTGCATAATGAGGATCACTAGTGGAGGAGAGAAATAATCTGATTAACTCTCAAGAGATCGCTCTCCTGGTGAGACTACCTTGTCCTAGATACTGAAGGTGACACAATGTCAGAAAATAAACATTTACAGTAAGTGAAACGGCCCATGTAGCAGCAACCCGTAAAACCAGATGAGAACATTAGTGGACGGACACATAAATACACTGGTTGTAAATGTGGAATTGTTGAACACCAGTGGTCATTAGATTCAGATTCAGTCAATCAATGGTTCAATCACTGATCAATTGAATGCTATTTATACGTTATGCTGACCTTTCACAGGTCCTTCTATTGTTTACTTGAGACAATACCTGGAGCTGCTTGTCTCACATCGTCCTGAATGATGCTCACAGTCTCAGTACGTCTTCAGTGGATGACTTGTGTATGAAAGATGTAACAGCTACAAATACAGCGAGCTAGCAAAGCAGATGTGGAATTTATTAGGTGTGACCGGTGCTACTGAAATATTCTGGCACTTAGGCAGCAATAACGTGATGGTGAACGAGAGCTGATCTACTGGACAGCAGCAATAAACCAGTGAGTCGGTAACACAGAGTCAAAATAAAAAAAACCAAGCTGCTGACCCAGAAATCATTTGGGCATCTTGAACTGATAACAAACTAACTGAGCTTTCAGATGAAATGCCAAAATGCTGAACGGAATAATAAACTAATTGCATTAGGCTGAGCTGTACTGCCTCCTACAAATTTCAAAGGCTGGACTTAAATGCACCGAGTCCTTCTAAAAAAGGAGGATTGCAAAGTTTTCTGTCAAACCTTTCACAGTGAATCAGTCTCTAATCTAGAACATGAACAGCTGCATAGAGATCTGATCTGACTTCTACTCAAGAACATTAATCACATAAATTATTCAGATATTTGCCTTTAACCCTTAAGACTGGGAAAATCAAGAATTTTGCCCAAAATACACGTATGTCAAAGCAAGAAAAACTCTCATTTTGTGCTAAAATGAAGCAACATAAGATGAAATCGCATGAAAAAAACAAATATCAGGATAATAACTAACCAACTTAGACCTATTATAATATAGCAGATAAAATATATAGAAGATACAAGAAAATACAAGACATATAATTTGAAAAATGTGCAAGAATTTGTCATTTTGACAGATTTCACTACCTGTACTTTATCTATTTTTACGTTTTAATAGATAGATAGATAGATAGATAGATAGATAGATAGATAGATAGATAGATAGATAAAAATAAACAATAATATCAAATGCAAAATGTACAATAAGTGTAATATGTCAATAAAAGTCCTTTGTGGAGTATAAAAAATTAAAAACCACATCCTAAAAACAACAACAAAAGTCCGAAGGCGAGCTACCAGAAGACAAGGTCACATGAAGCCACAGAGATCAAACAGCCTGATTGCGTTCCCTCTTAGAAAACTTTTTCTCTCTGTAACCTTCACTTCAACGAATCTCAGTATTTACCGTTAAAACAATTCCGCGAAGCCGGAGTCAGATATGACACTGTTCACACCGACTAGCGGATAAAGTTAAAATAACTTACAGCTCGATGTGAAGTAGGTCAGCAGACACCAATTTCAGTCAGCTCCTTTCTATTAATCTTTTGTTTTCAAGTTTTCAGCTTTTTTGTATTGGACAATGAAACTACTGTTCAAACGAAACACAAGTTTTACTGTGTGTCATAAAAACTGTACTTTTTTTTTTTTTTACTGCATCTGCTCGCTGAAAAACAGAGTTAAACATGTCAACGGGCAGTAAAACAAACACATTCAAACCTACATATAAGAAAAGAAAGCGACTAACCTTCGCACAGTGTTGTTATTTAAGCTGTGAAACATAAGTGAAACATCTTACCAGCGACTTCTTTGTCCTCTATCTACCCTACTCTCTCTCTCTGTTTTTTTTTCCTGAGCTCTCTCTCTCGCTCTGTCCACACGCCTGGATCACACCTCCTTCTCCCCTGTTTTCACCCACCACTTTACATCTCTCTCTCTCTCTGCTCTCCCGCTGTACACGACTACCTCCCTCTAATTTCCCTCTATTCCAGCCTCCTTTTAATCTCTACCATCCACTGCCTCCTCCTCCTCCTCTTTTTCTCTTTCTGCCACACTCCCTCTCTCTCTCTCTCTACAGCTCTCCGGCGGGCCATTTTTGTCCTGTTCACCCACTGTGGGAAAACAACTCATTATGGGAAGCTGGGGGGGGGAGTTTGACCCAGTGGGGAGGGTAGCGGTTCTGTGATCAAGGTCACATTATCAGCTAGGAGGGAGAGCTGTGGTGGACAAAGGGGAGGAGGGGGAGATAGAAAGTTATGAGTAAATTGCATGCTAACAGCCGCTGCCAGCGGAGATCCACTACCCCTCAGATGACAAGAGCCCCGTATGTCGCCAATTAGTTCTTCAAATCTCACACGACGTGGATCTAAACGACACCATTCCTACTAGAGGATTTTTACACTTTAAAAAAAAATCTTTCATGTGATTGTTGGTTTTTTTTATTTTTCTCTTTTTCTTGCTCTTGGCACATTATTTCAGTGTGACTTATAAAAGTTTCTGTCCTGTGTCCTTGGCCTGAAGCGTGGTGTCTGTGTGGATCTCGTCACTTCCCTCCCTGCATTGTCCAATTAATCAAGTAGGCCAAAGAGACAGAACATGAGAGAGAGAGAAGCACGTCATGGTGATGGGAGAGAACGAAAAGAGGGAGGAAGAGAGTGAGAGGAGCACAGAAACTAAGTTGTGTGCGTGTGGAAGAGACGGAGTGGGAGAAACGCGTGAAAAGTGAAATCACTGCTGTGCTTTGGCACCTCTTAAGTTTGACATTTGATGTATTAGTTGGAGATGAAGAAGTTATAATGAAATTTAAAAAAAGAAATTAAACAACCTAAAATGAAAATTACTATCTAACCTCTTATGACCTGAGCTCTTGTTTGATATGCATTTTTAATTTCTTTAATCAATTAGAAAATATATAAAGAAATAAAATATATTTTATAAAAATAAACAACAATAATAAAATAATTTTTAAAAATTTAAAAATTAACTACTGTGGTAAAAAAAAAACAAAATGTGATGTTCATACATGTGGAAATCAGGTCTTAATGTAGACTCAATTACAAACTGGCTATCTGATAATCCTCTGTCTATGATCACCCTCCTTCTCCCATACTTACAAAATGAAAAGTAATCACATTGAAATACAAGAACAATGCTGTTTGTTTATTTTCATATCTTCTACATGGATCATCATATGATGAGGATGCTGGTGAGACTCAAGGCATGAGCTTCAGTTTTTTTTTTAAAGGACAGTAGAACGAGAGAGAGGAAAGTGGGGAGAAGAACAGGACCTGCAGCAAATGGCCATGGGCTGGATTCGAACCCACGACCACTGTGTCGGGGACTAAAGCCCCAGTACATGGGTCACCAGCTTAACCAGTTGAGCCATAGTGGCAGCCCGAGCTTCAGTCTTTTAGCTTAATATCTAACTGAACCTTAGCACAGTTCAGTTTTTTAATTTTATTTTTTTAAAAGAGTCCAACGGAGAGAAGTGAGAAAGTCAGCTAGAGGCAGCAATTTAAACTCTAAAGTTTGTTGTAATCAGCCTACTAGCTACAGCTGGTAAACAAAGCTGCTTGTCAGCAGCATTCTGACTAAAATACTGGAGCCATTGTTTCAAAAAAAATTACTAAGAATTTCAAGTAACCAAGCAACAGCAACCAAGACGGGAAAATGCAGTGAAAGTGAAAAATACACTAATTTTCACATATGCAGGGTCACAAGCTATGAAACAAACCGTTAAATGGACCTTGATTTGGGTTTATTAGCTGTTTAATATCAAGAATGAAGCATTAAATTCAAATTTCACTCCAAAAATTTAGTGAAAAACAATTGTTCATTCAGTCAAAAGAACAAGTGTGCCTCGTGTTGGAACCATCTTGTCAACAATACTGTACGTCATTACAGCCCAAAAACAGTTCATTCAGTGCTAATGTCATGGGCTACTTCAATTCACATAAAACAATATAATGAAGAAACTAAGTTAAAGCAGATGAAATTAAACTTTTTGATGGTTTCTATTTATCTTATAATTGGTCGTACATCTTCCTGACGTCACAATTTCAAAGGGACTTGTCTCTTATTTTCTAGATTTACGAGGAAGCTGCCTGAGCTGTCCCTAAAAGACTGTCACATCTGAAAACGAGCATTCTTCAGTGTCACCAGATCAGCATTTACTTCCTCCATGTGCTCCCTTGTGATGAACTATCATCATGCAGCCCAGTAATTATTACCAGTAATTATTACTCGTTTCCAGCATGCTGGCTTACTGGTTACAGTAATTAGCATCGTCACAGAAACAAGGCATGATTAGGTGCTGTGAGGACACAGATTTTTAGGGATACAGCAGCTGTGAAACACCAAATATTTAAAAATCTAGTTCAAACTGAGCACTGTTGACATTTAATGAGAATGACATTTGTTTATTTATATACCCTTTTTTTTTTTTGATCCCACAAAGGGCAAATTTTGCCGTGTCGCACATCCCAGCTTGTTAGTAGGCTGAGGTCAGAGCACAGGGTCAGCCACACTACAGCGCCCCGGCAGCAGATACAGTTTGGAGCCTTGCTCGAGGGTCTAACAGCGGCAGAGTGGCAGTGCTGGGGCACGAACCCCTAACCTTCAGATCAGCAAGCCAAAGGCTTAACAGCTGAGCCACAACTCCCCTAGTTTAACACTGTAGATGACGTTTTATATCATGTAGCCGAGAACAGCTCAAAAGTTGACGTCATTTTTGTCTTTACAGCAGAAAGCTCAGAAGAAGAGGACTGGAAAACGGTTGATAAATCAGGTGAAACAGGATCTGCTTGATGCTTTCCATGAGAAAAACAAACTCCATGTTTTCTCTGTTGGGTTCTCAGTGGTATATTTGAGATACATGGTGTGTGAACTAAATATTGGCTGTTAAACACTCTGTGGTGTGAAATTCAATTTGGAGGTTGAGCAGTTAAAAGCACTTTTTTTTGTATTGTAAGCAAAATATACAAAGAAACAGAGGCAAAGGTTAGATTTTCTGATGTTTTTGCTTATGGTTTTATCAATCCAAGTTGTGTTTGAACTGAGATAGTTGCTTATGACTGTGTTCGAAATGCAGCAATGTGGATATAAGGCATATACCTGTGTCAGAGTTAATAAAACCGTAAAGCTACAGCGACTCACTGGCACTGGAGGCGGGACTTGCACAGTGATGTCATCGGTGTCGACGGGAGAGTCCAACCACGGCCTTTCATCTGACGACTGACTGTCAGAGTAGCCTTTTCTCTTACCGGGCTGTGACAGCTGACTCTTGGATCTCCTGGGTATGCTCTCCAAGTCTTGGTTCTCACCATTCTGCAGTAACAGAACATACCGTTAGAGAGGGATTGATCACTTTTTCATTCCCTTCTACAGTGTACTGACATGTGAGGTGAGAGAAATCACCTTATCTGAGGAGTACTTCCACAGCTCTACGCTGTCCATGCTGTTTCTCTTGGTGAATTTGGGTCTTGCTCCTACAGGGGAAAAAAAAAACTCATGTAAATAAACACAGCATTTAAAAATAAGATATTTCACTACTTTCAAAACGATTTCATGAGCAGGTTTACGCTTGCAAGTTGCCCCTTGTTTATCTTCATTTTTTTTTTTTTTTGAGGGGAGAAGCCTGTGATGTCAGTAGTGGTCCCGTGATGTTCGATGTGGATATGAGGTTTACACAGACAACCAGGCAAACAAACTGAATAAGAGTCTGTTTGCCAGCTCTGCTCCGAGGAGGGAAATGTAGGACATGGGTGTGAGTTTCTGCCCAGAGGAGAGTTTAGGAAAGCAAACATCACACAAAGGCAAAGGAGATTGTATGGATTTTGCAGTTTCTCAATGCTTTATTATATAAGACTCAAATGTGAGCTGTTGGGCTATTTGAGGGGCATATACAGGAACAATTAGTTTTATTATCTGAGCATATTTCTGGAAACAACCCATGCTCCTGCAAAACAAGGATCTTTATACTGCCCCCAAAAACATACACACGCCCCTTTGCTTTCTGTCACATTTAGCCTCCGTTCAGACATAACACACACACTGTCTCACCTGAAGTTAGTTTTACATTTAAGATGGCCACTTTGTGTACTCACACAGTATTCTAGTTAGCTTGCTTAAGCCCACATGTTATTTTTGTCGAAGGTAAAAGAGCAGAATCGAAAAACATTTTAAAAAAAGATTTGATTTGAGTAGTTTTGAAGTTATTGCTTAAAGCCCATTTAGTATCCCACTAAGCAAAGTTTCTACTTGACTCCGGCATTATCCCAGAGCTCTGTGATTATTATTGTCTGTTCCTATTTCTATGTGATGGGAAAAGCAAGTACAGCTCCAAGACCACAGTCTGAAGACGCCAAACTAACAGGTCCCTGTTTTAAATACACATTCAGACACACACACACAAACACACACCAGCATACACAGAGTTGGGCTTTTTTATCTGCCACACCCTTTCCCATTCCGTGATTAAGGAAACTGAGGGACTTGCTCACGTAGCTTTTCAGAAACACAGTTATATAACCGCTCTGGTGGAGAAGAGCGTGACCTGAATGAACTAAAGTCAACATTTCACTCCACAGTCAACGAGGACATCTTTGGTTTCTCTTTTGTCTTTGATTATTTTGGCAAACCTAAATGTGCGCGTGCATTTAAATATGCAAACATAAATGTCTTTTCAGAAACCCTCTTGAAGAGGTCTAGACCTTTCGCACCCAAGAGTTGTGGCATTGTACTTATACACTGAGTAAACGTGTTTCCCAGGTTAAATGTTCGCAAGGTTTTCAAATGATAACCAACATGGCTGACAAGTAAATGCTTTTGGGTAAGCCCCAGCTATGTTACATTTAGACTGATAACATCAACTACACTGTCTACGTCATTATTTAAACAAGTGAGAACAATAAACAGACTGAACAATGAATCAAAAGCCATTTTACAGAAATAGTGACAGTCGGCAGTTTCCATTGTTTCTACATGTCGAACATTGATCACACAGTGTGCATATGTAACATACAGCACCATAAATCGAAGGAAAGCTGCTATAACACTCACCCATTGCCACAGTAAATTTCATATAAAAAGGTGAAAATAACTTTTAGCGTTACCTTGCATCTCAAACTCTGAACTGGAAGGCGAGAGGTCGCTCTCGTTGACCCCCAGGGCCTCCATCAGCTGCTCCACATTCATTCTGGCTGTCAGTTCCCCATTTCTGTCTCCAATCTGAGGACGGAACAAACAGGCAGGGATAAAGAGACAAACGAATTAAGTCAAATGCAAGAGGCCTTAACCCCATTAAAGATGCATCGGGGAAGGTTGCAGTGTTACAGTTGCAAAGGGGACAGTGCAAATGTGTAAGGAACATCAGTAGAAAATAAAAATGAACAAGATTCTCCCATATATGGGCATTCAGATATTAAATAGATGTTGAAAATGACAATACAGTCGTGACTCGATAATCCGACACTAAATGTAAAACCTTCTTTTATGTCGGATAGCAAGGCTGTCGGATTGTCAAGGCGGAGGTCGAGATGCAAGGCGGGCTTGATGCTTGAAGGCAGTGGCGGCTGGTGAAAATGTTTGGTGGGGGGGGTGCAGTCTGCAAATGACCTTTTATTTACAATCAGAAATTAGAATATGAGCAACATCAGGTACAGCTATTTACAGGAATGTAAATTGTCTACCTTTGGAGGATATCCTAATCATAATCTAATTTAACATTTTCAGGACTTAACAGAACTAAATTTCGAAACCATTCATCAAATTTTCATCAATATTTACAGGATCTGTACAAACTCAAAACACATAAATAATGAAAAAAACACTATTCAGGGCTCCAGACTAACTTTTTCACTAGTAACACCAGTACGACCCACTTTCTCATTTTGTTGCACCTCCCACCTGGTCAAAGGCAGAACACATGACTTGCTGAACATTTTATTATCGATAGACACTACGATTCACTGATGCTCCCTGAACGCCCCACATTGCAGGCTGCGGTAGCAGCTGTTTGGTGGCTGTGGTGCTCTGACAGGTGTGTGACCAAAAATGACTAAAAATAATAAACTAGGGCGTTCTCATGTCACATTTGTCCAAGATGAAACCAAGTTACATGTATTCTACACGCGGTCTTTTCTATGAGCAGAAAAATGCTCACGTTATTCACAAGAAGACCTCATTTTTAAGCGTAAAAACTGCAGTACACCAAAGTTATAAAAGTTCCACTTTCCACCACTGTGGACCACACAGCAGCTTCCTGTGCTGGTTACAGCGACACTAATACAGTTTCATGATCATCATGCTCATCAATTCACACACTCTCAAAATAAAGGTCGCAAATGCAGTCTGGAGCTATTTGAACAAAAAACTGGCTCTTCTCTCTTTCTGCTCAGCAAACTTCTCTGTTACTTTTTGGTTGAAGTCACTCATCTCTGTGACCAGTCTTTTCTCCACTGACAGCAGGCCGATGCATTAAGCTGTCACGACAGTAGCTGTCATCTAGTACAAGAGCAACGGGACAGGCTGCGTGATGGCATCAGAAAGTGCAATCATAAGAACGTCAAGACAAATTAATTGGCTTACAGCAAAAGTGGACAGGTCCAGGACACACCGAGCTGCGCCCTGTGAGAAAGTCTGCAGCTGCCAATCAGAGCCCGGGCTGAGGTCACATGATCAGGAAAAGTTTTTCGAGCTACATACACACTCATGTGGCTGCGCCCCGCATCCAGGAAGTGTAGAATTAGTAAACACGCAGTAAAGACTAATATTAAATCTGTTAATAATACAAATATTGTTAATATAGCAAAAGAATATGAACGTTATTACTAATTTTATTATTATTTTGTTAAATTAATTCAAATTTAATATTGTGTTTGAGAACTACACCCTGTATTGACCAGCCGCCACTGCTTGAAGGGTAGTTTGTTGTTAATATTTCGTGTTTATAGTTGTTCTAATAACTAGTAGGGCTGGTCCGAATAGCACTTTCTGGGCTCCAGATATTTGGGCCCAATTAATGATGAATATCCGAATATTCGGCGCGGTCAGGGGGGCACTCCGACGGGGTGGAAGTGGCCGGAACACACAGGCAGTACTTGGCTGCTGGTGCCAGTTTAGTTAGCGGTCACAGTTCTGTTTTCACCATCTGTGGCAGCGGCGGAGGAGTGGCAGTTACGTGCCACTGTTTACTGTTTACTTCCACAAATACTGAGCACGCTCGCAGAGTGCAAATCCAAGGCTGTCAGTATGTTAAAGCTATTTTTAACGGGTTCCATTTGTTTTTCCTAAAAACCTGTGGGACAGCAAGGTTTTTGGATTGTTAAGGGTCGGATTATCGAGTCACGACTGTATATCTAAAAAGCAATGATACTGCACAGATTTCTTGCAGCACATATGTAGAAGAAATCTGACGTTACACAGAGTTTTTTTAAATGAACAAAATATTCATAATCCATTTTTTAAAAATAGCACATGTAATAATGTCTCACTTCTTTCGAGATGTCCAGGTGTTTCCGGGCATAGTGGAGGGCTTGTTTGTGGTTCCCTAATGACACGTACGCATTTCCGAGACTCCAGCAGGCACGACCCTCACCAACCCTATGGAGGAATGAACATACACACAAATGTCAGCAACTATTCCTGCGCTCATGCATTTGATATCATTTGTGCTCGCTGTACCTATCAGTGAGCTCCTGGGCGATGTACAGGTGTTTCAGGTGGTAGTCTATGGCCCTCTCATACTGTTGCAAAAGCGTGTAGGTGTTTCCCAGACTGTAACAGGCCTGAGCCTCCATCACCTGGTCTCTAAGTTGCCTGGACAGTTGCAGAGTTTTCCTAGAGGAAGACAAACAGGGGGACAAATAAAATTCTCAACTCGTAAAATAAAAACTTTAAGAGCTTCTGACATTCATCAGACTCATATTTTTTAAATTGATTTTATACTTCAAGTCAAATTTGGTTAATTTCGCCTTCTCTCCACTAGATGTCAGACTTCACTTTTTCCTCACCTGTAGTACTCGGTGGCAGTGTTGAACTGTCCCAGGAATATCAGGGCATTTCCCAGGTTACTGTAGGCTCGCCGTTCAGCAGCTTTGTCCCCAAATTCTTTGGCAATGGATAACCGCTGTAAACAGAGCAGCAAAGGTCAAACTACATCAGGATAACACTTTCATTTTGCTTCTTAATTTTAGTGGCTATGTGTTACTAATTCATTTTGCTTTGCTTGACAGCGTGTAAGCAGAGGCAGTTACACGGGTTCAAGTTGCAAGCTCTGTTGGGCCCATTATTTCATGACCAGAGGTGCTGCTGCAGAGCTGGTGCATCAAATCACCTCTGCTGGTTCCCTTTAGAGGCAGTGAGCTCCCCTCTGTGGCACACTGATAGATTTGTAATAGAGAATAGAGGAGAGGCCAGTTTCTCATGAGAGGAAACAAGTGTTTTACAATGGAGAGTGACAGGAAACATGGGGAGGGAGAGCCTGAAGCCGTACTTTCCAGTAATTCACCAAGAAACCAATTCCCTCCTCTTTTTTTACGAGTAGACATCAATCTCGGTGTGGTGGTACAGCATGAGATAGGCTGCAATACACTGAAAAACATACCCAGCTGAAATCTATTTGGGAAAAAAAACTGTTATGACTACTTATACCACACACTGTGATCAAACACTATTTTTTACCCTTTTTTTTCTATTTTTGTCCTCATTCATTGTCACCCATGCAATCCTATCTCTTCTGCTGTTGGCTTTAAATAAGATGGTAACTCTGTAAAAATGGAATTAGTAAAATGAGAGAAGCAAAAACTGTTTAGATGAGAGACTAGTTCTTCCTCCCTCTCAGGCCTGGCTGTGTGAGACTACCCTCAAACTGACATTGGCAAGTCTTGTTGTTTTGCATGTAAAATTTTAGCCAGACGGACATCTGTGCAAGGCAAACGAGGTAAGATCTGTCCTCAGCAAGACGCAAATGCACATGGCCTGCTTCCTCAGTGAATACAATTATGAAGTCTAGTCTGGCTGCACCTAAAAGCTAAAAGCTCAAGTCATGCAAACACGTTTGAACGCAACTCGACAGTAAGCCAAATTTTGTGGTAATCATTTGGTTGCTTCTGGGCTGCATATGATACAACTGCACAAAAGAGGCTGAACACAAGAACAGCCTGCTGTGAATTTATCATTTTGCACTGTGGCTGCAGGGAGGACACTCAAATATCCCTGGCTAGGACACTGTGTGCACACAGCATGTGCACAAACCAAAACACCCTAAAACCATATTCAAATGCCTGTGTTAATGGTCCTGAAAACGACAAACTAAACATATCTGAAAACTGAAGTGTTTGGGTTTATGTACTGCACATAGCATTGTGAAACAAAATGAAGGCAATGCATACAGTTTTTGACTTCACTTTAATTGCAGTTCTATTTAAATCACGGGCATTTTCTGCACAGCCTGGTGCAGATAACATTGTGGCCGGCCACAAAGTCCGCTACGAAGTGAATGACCTTGTGTCACGTGCAAAGTTGGGCTGCCACTCTGCTCATGTAAGGTCGCCACTCTGTCCTGGCACAATGACAAGGCCGATAACTCATGTCTCTGCAAAACACTCGTGTGAATATGCTTTTGGATTTCTCACCTGACGGTGGAACTTGATAGCTTCAACAAAGTTACCCAGCAGGTAGTGGGTGTTGCCCAGGTTCCCGTAGGCCCTCCCCTGAGCTGCTCGGTCACCAAGCTCTTTGACCAAACACAGGTTCATCCTGCAGAGGCAAGTGCACACATTTAGTAGCAGTTAGGCAACAGTAAAGTAGGATATTAGTGCGTTCATAGTTTTATTCATTTTCTTTGTCCATCTAGTAGGCAGGACAGTAGACATTCTGATCACTAAATATGATTTCAGAATATT